GCCCCGGTGCCCGCCCGTGCCCGCGCCCCGGTGCCCGCGCTCACCGGGCCCCCTCAGCCCGCCCGGGCCCCGCAGCGCCGCCCGCAGCCGCAGCAGCGCCATCTCCGCGCCGTGCGCGCCGCGCCGCACCGCGCATGCGCCGCGGCGCCAGTGCTGCCGCGCGGCACGCCGGGAGCGCGAGTCCCGCTGCGCCGAACTACAGCTCCCATGGTGCACCGCGGCCGCGCCACCACCACCCCCCCCATTCCTTCCTCTCCTCCCGCGCCCCCTGGCGGCCGTGACGGCCCCGACGGGGCGGGACCGGGACACGGAACCGGGACACGGGACACGGCGGAACCGGGACACGGGACACGGGACACGGTGGGACTGGGACACGGGACACGGCGGGACCGGGACACGGCGGGACCCGGAGGGGCGGCAGAGCCCGGGACATGCCAAAGCCTGCGGGGGCGGCGAAGCCCAGGCAACGGCGGCAGAGCGCGGGGGCGGAGGAGTCGGGACACGGCGGAGCCCGGCGGGGCGGTGGAACACGGGGCTCCGCCGCCTCCCTCACGGCCCGAGCTCGGCGCTCTTCGGTCGGGGCCGCAGGCATACACCTCTACCCCCGGGTCCGGGGCCACATCTCTTCCCCGACTCTGCCCGGGGCACCCGTTTCCTGCCCACTCGTCGCCACCGTCGGTGGATACTGGAGCGTGCGGTCCCCAACCGGGCGCCCCAGGGTAGCCGAGTGACCGCGTCCGATAACCCGGGGCAGCCGTCGGGGTGCGGATTTATGAATGGGAGGCCCCGCCCCCGGCCCCGCCTCGCCCCTTGGCCACCGCCCCTCTCGGGCCGCCCCTCCCCGGCCGCCCGCGCCGTCGGGGCCGGTCGCCGGTCGCGGCCGCGGCGATGGCTCGTCGCCTGTCGCCCGCCGCCCGCCCGCCGCCCGCCGCCATGAGACGCGGGGGCCCCGCTGCCATCGCCGCCTGCCTCGCCGGGGCTCTCGCTGTGCTGGCGGGACCGGGGCCGGGCGGCGCCACCGGGACCGGCCGGCGACCCCCCCGCAGCTACGGGCACCTGGAGGGCGACGTGCGCTGGCGGCGACTCTTCTCCGCCACCCGCTTCTTCCTGCGCATCGACGGCGGCGGCGGCGTGGAGGGGACGCGCTGGAGGGAGCGGCCGGGCAGTGAGTGTGGCCGGGGCCGGGACCGGGGAGAGCCGGGGCCTGGGGCCGCCCCCCGCGGCTGCCCCCGAGAGCCCGATCCCGCCGGGTGCCGGGGCTGCGGCAGAGGCGGGCGCTGCCGGGGCGGAGGCTGGACGGGGATGCCTCGGGACGGCGACGGGACCCTCCGTGCTCGGCCCGGAGATCGCCCGCACCTCCTCCCGCTGGGGGAACCTCAGCCAAAGCGCTTCCTCCTCTGGGGGCGCGGGAGCGGCGGGAGCGGCGGGAGCTACTGTCCCCTCCGTCCCCGCTGTCCCCTCCGTCCCCGCTGTCCCCTCCGTCCCCGCCGGGCGGGACGCGTCACTCCTCGAGTACAACCAGCTCCGGCTGCCCTCGCCCCGGGAGCTCCTTCCCGAGGCTCGGCCGCCGCTGCCCCGTGGGAGCCGTGAGAGGGGCGCGGGCGCCGGCAGGCACTGGCTGGGGACCCGGCATTGCTGGGGTGACCGGGGGAGGGGTGTTGGTCCCTTGTCCCGTCTCGTCCTGCCAGCGCAGGCATGAGGGCATCCGCCTGCCCTGCCTTCTGCGTGGGCTGAGAGGATCTGATCTATCCCCGCAAACACACTGAGGAGGATAAAGGCTGAGGAGGAGGGACGTAGGAAGCTTCGCGGTGATGCTGGTCCAAGAACGGAGCATCCCTCAGGTGTAGGAGAGGGGAGCAGCCCTGTTGGACGGGACCACTCCACACCTGCTACCTGTGGAGTGGTTTGGGGCTTGGCATGGGGACATCCGGGTGGGCAGAGTTCCCGGAGTCCCCAAGGACTTGGCACCCACTTCAGCAAGAGTCAGGGCTGGAAGCATCCAGGTTTCAGCCCATCAGAGTGGGGGGTCTCAGCCCCTGTGACAGGGAGAGGGCACTGGGTTGGCGGGACAGTGGCTGGACGGGAGGGGCCTTGGGAAAGGGGGATGCCTGAACATCCCTGGGGTGCCCTGGCAGGGTGTTGGGGCTCGGGGCAGGAGGGATGCAGTACCCCCAGCCCGTGTCCTGGTCTGGCAGGGGCAGCCCTGTCTCCTGGCCAGCACAGGATGAGGGAGCCCAGCCCAGCCCAGCCCAGGGAACCCTCCTGTGGTGTCAGAGGCTGTTGGGAGTCCCGACCAGGCACGTTGCCAACACAAAGCACCCCAACACGTTCCCTTGGCTGGGTGGCCATGGGGCCTGGCAGGCGGAGCAGCCCTGGGCTGTTGCACGGGGCTCACTCTGCTTATCTGAGTGTGCCTGGGCTGGGCTCCCCTCCACAGCCCTCGCAGAAGCTGCTGGACCAGCCCCACTGGCAGCTGCAGGGTGGTGGGGGATCTCCCAGGGACTCAGGCCCTGCTTCTGCCCCAGCCTCCTCGAGACCCCTCTGGGGGCTGAGAGTGTGAGACTGGGGGCACTGGGAGCTGTCTCTGGCCAGGCACCCGCAAGCACAGCACGGCAGAGCCGACCAGGGTGACGGGGACAGCAGCGGGGGGTTATTTTTAGAAAAGCACAAGTCCTTTCTTATAAATAGCATCAGCTCCAGACTGATCCAGCAGGACAGATTCACAGCTCTTCTCCTCCACTGCTGCTCATCAGTGGCTCCACTGGGCCAGGCCCTGCAGATGCTGGCAATGCCAGGGGATTGGTGCCTGGTGAAAGCCCCTGCCCAGGGGCTGCAGCCCCTCACACTGTGTGTGCCGCCACCAACCAGAGCCTCTGCATGTCCTCCCTCCCTGTCCAGCCGGGGCAGCCCCTGCAGTGGTGCCCGTGGACAGATCCTGCTGTGGCTCCTGCCCTGCCCTGCCCACATTGCTCCCCCTGGAGATTCCTTCTCCCCTTTCCACTGTGCCATGTGCCTGGCGGGCAGCAGGGCAGGCAGCAGCACTCCGGGCTGGCTGGCGTGGGGCAGTGCAGGAATCCAAAGCCCTGATGATGCTCTGGGTGTTTCCCATGCCAGAGCCTCTGGTCTGACCACATGCCTTTCCCATTAGCGGCCGTGCTGGAGCTCGGCGGTCGGGCACACACACGCCAGCCCAGCTGTGGCTTCACAGCCCGGCTGCAGCCACCTCCTGGGCTCATCCCCGTGTCCTGCAGCGCCGCTGCATCCGCCAGCCCACAGCACTGGGCACAGAGCTGTGTGTGCTCGCTTGTGCCAGCCGGGCAGTCAGCACCAGCATCCTCAGGCAGCACCATTCCAGCCCCGTTCCTGCCCCCTCACGCCTCTGCCCACGTGCCTCCACCCACCATAACACAGGGTGCGCCCTGTGTGTGCCACCCCCGCGCACACTTTGCCCCTCCAAGGGCCGTGCCAGCCTCCATGCCCTGCATGTGCCAGGGCCAGGCGCTGTGGGGGGCGGGTCGTGTCCCTGAGGCACGACAGACCCACGGGGGACGGAGGCATTTGCGGAGCTGCCAATGAGGGGAGGACACACGCGAGGTCGGCACTGGGCAAGTGGAGGCTGTGCTTGGCATTGCTCCCACACAGCCCAGCTCCTGGGAAGCAGCTGGACCTTGGGGAGGAGAGGAGTAAAGATCAAACCCTCTCTGGATCAGAAGTTCCCCCTCCCACTCTCAGCTTGGGCCGCAGCTCTTGTTCCCACTGTCCCTCTGGCTGCTCCTACTATGGGCAAGGATCAGCAACCCCATCCCTCTGGGGGGACACTGTGGCCACAGCCCCAGGATCCCTGGCTCACACTGGGCTTCCCTGTCCCACAGGCATCGTGGAGATCCGGTCGGTGCGTGTCGGCGTCGTGGTCATCCGGGCGGTGCACACCGGCTTCTACCTGGCCATGAACAAGCGGGGGAGGCTCTACGGGTCGGTAGGTCGGACGCTGCCTCCTGGGAGGGACCGCGCTGGGGTCAGAGGTGCAGGACAGAGTTGCAACAGGGGGTCCCAGACCTGCTGGGACCGGTGCCCGGGAGCAGGGTTCTGGTTTTCCATGCCCTGACGTGCTCCCCATCAGGGACCGAGCCCTCTGACCCCTGGGGACACAGGGTCCTGCCCGGCCCCACCTGGGGTCCGAGGGACCCCAGCCGAGCGCAGCCACCCTTCACCCCCTTCCCTCTCCTGCCAGAAGGAGTTCAGCCCCAACTGCAAGTTCACAGAGCGCATCGAGGAGAACGGCTACAACACCTACGCGTCGCTGCGCTGGCGGCACTGCGGCCGCCCCATGTTCCTCTCTCTCAACAGCAAGGGCAGGCCACAGCGAGGGGGCAGGACACGCCGGCAGCACCTCTCCACACACTTCCTCCCCATGCTGGTTGGCTGAGTGCCACGAGCAGCTCCGGACAGTCCTGTAGGAAAAAAACCAAGAAAGGATTCTTTTATTTATGTACATATCTATTTTTTGCTATTTATTGCTTTATTTTTAATGCATGGTGGAGGATGGATGCAGAAGGCAGATGCTCCAGACTTGGCTTTGCAGGGCTGTCCCCCCCATCCCGCCGGGGCAGAGCTGGCGTGGCACAGCTGGGGAGTGTGGCCACGGCCTGCCAAGGCCAAGGGCGTGCCTGGAGCAGGGCCTGGGGTCTGCTAATGGCATCTCTGCAGGGCTGGGATGTACCAGCCAGTTGTCTGTGTCCGAGCACCCATGGCAATTAAAGCTGTGTTCATGGTATGGAACAGGAGCGGGTCTTGGAGCTTTGATGGTGGACTTGGCTTGGGATGGGAGGGATTGGCTTCCCTGAGGTCGTGGCTGCAGCCCCCAGTGTCATCCCTGCTGCCACATCGAGAACCCCGCAGGAAAACAGCAATGATGGTTCAGCAGCACAAAGGAGGGAGCAGGAGGAGCAGAACCAGGAGCCAGCCTGGATCCTCAGGCAGACACAGCCCCAGGGCTGTCCCTGGCTGCAGCCCGTGCCGGTCTTGCAGCCCAGCTTCACACCATCATTCCCAGCAAATGTGGAGCTGGGACAGTGGACAGTGGCAAGGACCAGGCCCTTGCCTGGAGGGGAGCACAGCCAGGAATAGCACCCACAGCTCGGCCTCCCGGCCAGGGCACAGCCCTCGCACCCGCCGCGGCCAGGCCGAGCAGCCCGGTCACCTCACATCACACAGAGCAATGGCCCCAGCAAAAACCACCAAACTCGTTCCATTTCCGACCCAACCAGCTCCAAACGACTCTGAAAGGGAACACCACCGTGTTAACTGTGTGGTGACTGTGGAACTGGCCCCGAGCCCCTGCCAGGCAGGTGGCAGCTGCCACACACCCACCTGGGGCTTTGCTTTGCCCACTCAAAACCCACCCAAGCACTGCTGACACGTGAGAGATCACCCTGAGCACAGGGGAGCAGCAACCCCTGCTGTAGCAGAAACATGGTGGGAGAGGGAAGGTTTTTCCAGGTTAGGTGACTAAACAGCAAAGCCTTCCCTTGGTGCTGGGCCAGCTGATGGACTCACGCAGGTTCAGCCAGGACCTTCTTGCTGCCACCCACTTCCCCAGACCAGGCTTCTGGCTCAACCCTTGGCAGAGGATGAGCCATTAACCACGACACACCAGTCCTGAGATAAACCCTTGTCCTGGGAGATGAAAGGCGCCGCTGTGCTGCCCTGCCAAGCCAAGGAGGAAAAACAGTCCAGGCGAGTCGCTCTGTGCCAGCTCCTGGCCCCGGCAGAGCTGCTGCCACCCACCCTGGGGACTTTCTCCAACAAATCAATTTCTTGTGTTCTGAAATGGCTCAAGAATGGCCAAATCAGCCACTGGCCTCCCCCCTCCTATAGGATCTTGTCCCTTCCCAGGAAGCTCTTGGGAGGAAGGGTCAGGTCTGGGGTGAATCTGCTTTGGAAGAGACACCCAAGCTCTGCAGGCACCAGCACCTTCCCCAGCTGTCCCAGCCCACTCCCAAGGCCCCAAGAGCCAGGGAGCCCCCAAACTGCCAAACCCTCTGCCCACCCCCACAGGGGCACAGTCCCTCTCGCCTGTCTGGCCTCTGCCACAGCACGATCCCAACGCGCAGCTCCATTGTGGACCCTGGCCCGTCAGGAGATCCTGACTGCCCCAAGTCCCTGCCAGTGGAAAGGGCTCCCGGTGACAGAGGGCGAGAGCACCAGGGCTCTGGTCCTCTCATGCCTCCAGGCCTGGGGAGCAGGGACGTGGCAGGGAGCGACTGCCCGCACTGGTCACATTCTTGTCATTCTCCAAGCTCCAGCTCTGTCACAGAAACTGAGTCACAAACATACCTGGGTATTTTTCTCTCTCTCCTTTTTTAATCAGCTCTATTTTAAGTAGTTTTGCAATACATTTTTCTCAAAAAAATGTTGTTTTCCTGGTAATTACTCAGTCACAATGAGATTTGCTGGTCCTCGCTCTGCTGCACACCCAGTCCTGTGTGGGCCCAGCGGAACAGCCCCGGCTGCGAGAGGCAGGACTGCAACAGAGAGATGTAAAAAATAGAAAAGACCAGGCGAGGATGCTTCCAGATGTGATCCTTGGTCACCTTTGCAGTGCCCTGCAGGCTGGCAGCAGCTCCCAGCAGAGCTCCCAGCACGTGGGAGGGCTCAGAGAGGCCCAGCCTGCCCGGGGGAGGTGGGATGGCTCGGAGCTCACCCTGCAGCTCTCCTCAAATCATGCAGAACGGCTCGCAGAGCTCAAATGTCCATTTATTGACAGCAGTAATAATTTAAGATTATAAAAACCCTTTCAGTGTTGAGTATCAGCGGGCGAGGTTATAAAGAAAAATAAATGGGACTCAAGATGGGACAGGGAAGGATCCCGGGGTCTATTTGAGAGTTCCTGTTTCAGTGAGAGCTACTGGTCCTCCCCAGCTGAAGATCCTGGAGGGGAGGCAGCATCCTTACGCTTCCATTTTAGACTTCAATCTCCAAAGCAGAAAAGATAGTATCCAAGGGGAGGAGGAGCAAAAGAAATAAAAGAAAGGGATCTCAAATTCAAACCCATACAAACAACCTTTCCTTTTGGGATTCAACCACTCGCTCAGCACCTCGGGGTTCCCAGCTGGGAGCGCGGCAGCCTCGCACTGCAACGGGTAAAGTCCACGCACAGAGGATGTTTTTATTGACAGACAGAGCTCTTTCCCCCCTTTTTCATCACAGAACTTGAGGCTTCTCATCTCTGAAGGACCCAGAGTCTCCGTGTCTTCAGAAATCAAAAGGGAATTCTGGGGGCACTGCTCCCCCCTTGTCCCCTCCCCTCGCTCTGCTCTGGAAGCCCCTTTGGCTGCTTGTGGTGGCCAGGGAGGGAGGGGGGACAGTGGAGGGGGCCCCAGGGACAGAGGGTGCGTTAAGATTCATGAGTTGTTCGATGAGTTTTCATTACTTGGTGAGCTGGAGGAAGAGGAGGAGGAGGAGGATGACGAGAAGTTCATCCCTGTGAGTCCTGGGGGGTTTGTGGCAGTGTTTTGTCCACTTAAACTTTTCCGGCAGACGGGACACGTGTCATGCTTTGAGGAGCAGACAAAAACAAAACAAGAAATATGGAAAACAGATTAGAAACAGGATATGGGAGCAGCACTCGAGGAACAGGCTGGGATGACACTCCGTCCCCTGATCAAAGGCTGTTCATGGCTCAAGCCTCACAACAGAGGTAGGAAAATATTTACAGAGGGGAGCAGAGGTGCTGCACGCCCCGGGCACTGCCCCCACACTCACCTGCTCCAGCCAGGGGACGATGCAGCCGTCGTGGAACAGGTGATTGCACGGTAACTGCCGCACGTTCTCCCCGACTGTGTAATCTTCCTTACACACAGGGCACTCCAACCCGGAATCTGCATCGCACAGGGAAAGCCAAACACGGCTGAGCAATGGAGGAGAGAATGACAGACAAAGCCCCCAGCTCGAGACCCAGCACTCCCTCCCCTTCCCCAGCACTGCCCCAACCCTGCCGAGAGGAAAGCTTGGTGCTCTGCAGTCACTCCCCCATCACGCCACCTCCCCCTGCCCCGGCTCTGCCTCATCCTTCCCCCTCCCTTCTGCTTTTCCATCTGAACTTCTCACAAGTTTGCCTCCACAGGGCAAATCCATCCAGCCTGCACTGCTCTCTTTTTTTGTGAGCGTAACAGAGCCACTTCAGCTCTCTCCCGTCTTTGAAATGTTTTAGGCCCTGAAGGTACAAGCAGACAAAATTCAAGTCCCAAGAAAACATTACACAGAGCTTCCAGGGAGCTCTCTCTGCATGACTGCCCGGAGCAGACACATACCTACGTGCTCCTGTGTGATCTGTATGGTGGGGAGGGCCTGGATCTTCTCTTTGTCCGCTGGCGGTGGTCCAGTGTTTTCAAACTGATTCAGTAACTGGAAAAACAACCGGCCAGGCAGGCAGAAGGGAGAGGTGAGCTCAGCAGTACAGAGAATCCACTTGTTTCCTGAGCCAGTGCGCTTGGGCCTCGCGTCGCCCACACTGCAGACCCCGGTTCCCATTCCTGCCCCCTCACCCCCTGCACCACCACAGGTGCTGCCCCTTCTGCAGCACTGCAGAGGAGGATGGAGACTGGTAAATCCCAGTTTTACCTGTGTGATAATCGCATCCAGGCCGTTGGCACCCCAGGCGTAGTCCATCGGATTCGAGTGCAGGACTCCCCTGAAGAGCAAGGACAGCAAGTGAGTTCATCCGGGAGCACCACCGAGACACTGCCAGAGAGAGCAGCACATCCTCCAACTCACCAAGGGCCCAGGCCTAGGTTTGGAATTGTGGTTGGTGCAATAATTCCATTGACCAGCTGCTGGATAATTCTGAAAGACAAGAAAACCAGGATTGTGTAAGAATTAGTCTGCTGGCTCCCAGCCCAGCACCCCGACGTGGAGGGAGAGGCTGAATACTGTCACATTGTCAGGGGAAAGAAAAGATTCCCTGTAGCAATTGCAATTGCAGCTTATAGAGTGATAGGCCATGGATAAAGTTTCAGTATTTGATTTGTAAGGGGACAATTCCCGACACGACAGTGAGTGGCTCCCAGGACACAGTTACACAAACAGCATCTGGTGCTTTCTGCTGGTTCCCCTCATAGTGAGCACAACATTTTGGCAACGACCAGGGAACATTTTCCCGCTGCAGGACAAAGTCCCAGCCACAGGCCATGCCACTGCTCAGGTGAAATAGCCCCAACAGACCCCAGGCAGGAGCTGCCAACACCATCAGGCCCAGCTGGGGCACAGCTGGCACCCAAGGCAGTGCTGGAGAGCTTTGGGACGCTGCTCTCCAACCCGGGGGAAAAGGCACAGGCCGATGTCGAGCTCGGTCTCATCAGGGAGGAACAACAGGGCTCCCTCCCCAGGTCCTGGAGTGATTCTCACCCTTCCAGCGTGGGGACGCCCTCGTGCCTGCCCGAGGCGCGGCGCGTGGCCAGGCGGGCGCGGGGCTGCCTCGCGCCGTAGCGGTGCCGGGACTGGTGCTCGCGCTCCCGCCGGTTCTCCGAGTCCCGGTTGTCTTCCGGCTGCGCGTTGGACCCGAACGGAAACTCAAAGCTGTCATCGAAGAACCCGAAAGCGAACTGGCCGTAGCCCTGGGGCAAGGTGAACAAGTGCTGATCCACGTTCTGGGAGGGAGGGAATGCAGAGAACAGATTGTGACGAGAGAAACGGCCCTCGGCTCCCACAGCCACCCCCAGGCCTGCAGTGACACCGGGACCAGTGTGCCCTCGGCAGCAGCTCAGTGAGGAACTGCACACAAAGGCAGAAAAAACCCAAATCGCAGTTCCCTGGTTTCCCTTTGTTGTGTCACTGCTGCTTCCGAGCTGAGGCTACTGCACAGCAACACACTCCAGTCCTGCTCTCCAAATCCTGCTGAGCCCCCTCACGACGGGAACCAGCTACAAGTGACGGTCCCGCGTAACACAGGCAGCAAAAATACGGCATGCAGAGATTTCAGGAGCATCATGTGGAGGACATTAATTCCTCCTTTCCAGATTCTGTCATGATCTGGGGGACATTTAAACGATGTACTATTGGGAAAATACTCAATCCAATGGCAAAGCAGAAGGTGTTGAAAGGGAGGAAGGACTTAGTCACCTCAAAAGGATGCCTGCTCTGATCAGTGGCTGACGTAGAGGAGCTGGTCTCATTTTCAGCGTTCCTATGGGGAATGAAGAATGCTGATAAGACTCAGAAGCTTCTACAGGAAGATTTGCTGTCCCCCTTCCCTTTAAGGTCTGCTCCCCTCCCACCCACTCCAGGGCAGGGGCAGCTCCAGACAGAACCTGGTCCTCTTTCAGCTGCCAATTTTCTGGTTGTCCACATCAATTTTCATTTCTCCCTCCCTGAACCCTTCATTTTCCCACATCCTCACCCATCTCTCCCTACCCTATTAGGTTGTGATTTCACAAAGCTGCAGAGAAGTGCCTGAACCACAATGTCAAGTAAGGATTCCCTGCACAATCCACCTCAAACACATCAGCTAAGCCTCCAGAGCATCAGGAAGACTTCTGATCGCTGTGACCCCAACACATGTAAGTCTAATCTTGAATCAAAGAAACCTCTCTATTGCAGAGGCACGTGACCCAATGGCTCAGGATATTGGGAAAACTCCTAATGCTGTCAGGTTTCTGCTTTCAGAGCTGCAGGAACATTGCCTGCTCAGTGCCCAGCTCTACGTGTCTGCATTCAAGGCACCGAAACCGCTGAGATTCAGCGACCACGCTGCTCTCCCAAGGTCACAGGAAATCAGTCAGGATCTGCCAGGATGGATTTTTAGGCTCCAGGGCTGGTGTGGTCAGACCAAACATCTCCTGATCTGTGCAGAAACCCCAGGCCATGCAGACCACCATGCTCAGCAGGCAGCAACACCCGCTCCCCCCTGGCCCATCCCAGAGCCAGTCACAGCCAACAAATGTGACTGAAACATTTAAAGACATTCCTGGTGCTCCTGCCTGCCAGAGAGCTGTCCCACCAGTGGCAGCAGAGGAACGTGGATCTCGTTGCTCCAGGGCAGAGTCCAAAGTCTCAGCCACAGCATTTCACTGTTTGTCCCCAGCACATTCACTCCTGGCACACTGAAGTGTCCGTGCACTCTCCATTCCCAGGTTTGTCTCTCTGGGGTTATCTCTGCCCTGATGACTCAGACCAGGTCAGAGCTACATGCACCATAGGGAAAGCCTCCCTACCACTTCTTTATGTTTGTTTTACATCAACCCATTCCTGCACTGCCCTTCACCAGCGACACTGGATGCTCAGGAGGACACTCAGTACTCCCATGGCAAACTGACCTGTGGGTGCAAACCTGCCAATGAAGCACTATAACCCCACAGTGAGGAAAGATGAGCCAAAGTTTGGGCAGAAGCAATAGAGATGGTGTATTTAATATTTAGCTTTGCCTTTGAACTAGTAAGAGAGCAAGGCAGCCCTGGCTCACTCAAGGACCAGTCCATGGGGCAGGATGTTACCTCGGCTCCTCGGGAAGTTCTTCAATAAAACCAGACTCACACCGCGGGCAGATGTAGTCCTGTGGGAGAAGAGACACTGGATAAGAGAAGGAAGTGGTACCTCAGAGCTGCAGGGTGTGACGGGAGGGGTCTGGTCATCCCCAGCACCCACAGAGACCCCAAACCCCGACATTGGCTTTCCCCAGGCCGGTGAGGCCAGAGCTTGGCCTGAGTCTGCAGGAGCTCGGCTTGAGAACGATCAGGGTGACGCTGCTAATCCCAGTACAGACACAGCATCAGACACAACTGAAGCAGTTCTGGTGAAGTGAAAGCAAAACCCCCATCGCTCCCTGCACAGCAGCTCTCAAACACCAGCTCTGGGGACCGGGAAACGAGGTGGGAATGGCAGCAGGGGCTCGGCAGTGTCGTGGTGCTCAGGGAGGCTGATCCCTGTCACTAACATGAGCTGGGGTTCACAGCACGAGGGGCACACCAGGTCATTCTGCAGCCAGGACCTCACACACCCATGACCAGTACTTGCCACAGACCTGCTGCCGCCCCAGTGCCCTGGGCACTGACAATGGAGCATGTGGGGAAAGACAGGCTGTGTGTGCAGAGCCTGTGACACTTACTGCCTCACAATCCTTGGGGTTAGTGAGGAATTTATCCTCCACAACCACACTGTCCTGGGCAGAGCAGCCCAGAACACTGGAGATCCTCAAAGGGAATTGCTTTGCTTTCCAGTGCTTGAGGAGCAGCAGCACCACAGAGCTGCCCGTGTGCCCAGCGGGCACACACCACCCCAAATCCCCGCGCTGGCAGAGCCGGGCTCAGCTCAGAAGGCATTTAAGAGCTTCTAAAAATAATATCACTTCCCTTTGCTGCTGCTGCTGCACTGGGATTTGCACAGCCCTTCACCAGGCCAAGGGATTCCCCCAAGGAGTCAAGGCCACCAGCCCTGGGGACTGTCCCGATAAGGCCCCTGGGGTTGCTCCCCCAGTCCCCACATCTGACCCCAATAAGGCCCCATGTGGAGCACTGCCCGGAGCCACTGCACGTGCCCTGCCCACCCAGGGAGAAACAGGAGCTCCGAGACCCAGGAACAGACTGGGACAGGTCCCTGCTCCCTCTCCCACACAGGACTCCCTGTCTGCTGCTGTGAAACAACTGGCTCTGCACCACTCACACGAGGTGTGAGCTCAGAAACCTCTGTACCCCTCAGTGCCCAGCACAAGGAGCTGCAGCAGTTACCTCTGCCTGGGAAAACCCCTTTGCTTCCCACCACCACAGCCTGGTGGGGACACACTGGCACAGGGGGAATGACCACGGCCTGAGCACCCTGCTCCTCTCAGCTCCCCGCTCCAGGGGGCTGGGGGGCGTGTGTGTGCTCACAGCCAGCTCTGAGCACAGGGATCAGCACATTCCTCTGCAGCTGGAACAGCACAAATGTCAAAGTTAGTTGTTTCTTGGGCTGTTTGAGTCCCTCCTCTGGCAGCTCCTGTTGGTGAGTGAAACCGAGTGAACTCGGACCCCCAAAACAAGTTCATGAACTCACAGCTACCCAGCCTTGAGGCCCCAAACACAGCCACCTGCTCCCTGCCCAGCCCAGCACACACAGCCAGGTGTGCCCAGCTCAGCCCAGCCCAGGATGGAGTGTTTGAGCAGAAATGAACGACGGATATTGCAGGTTATCCCCTGGCTCCCGCCCCCAGCCTGTCTGTTCTCAGCACGAGCACAGTCAGGCATTTGTTCTCACACTTACACACGAGCTGGAAGCCTCCAACACGGCCCACCCTGGCAAAAGGACAAACTGCACGTCACAAAACAACCACCCCCTGCAAGGACAGCTCTGTTTGCCCTCGGGGGCTTTTCAAGCTCAGTGTCAGCAACCAGCAAAGGCTTGTTCAGACAAGACGCTGTGAAAAGTGTCAGGACAAAGAGACCGGCAGGACCCCCGGAACCGCACTGAACATCTCAGGACACCGGGCGGGGAGCAGGTGACCCACCAGCTCCTCCCCAACAGCCCACGCTCCTGGCCTCCCACCCCGGGACAGGCTCCGCATACGCGGGGTTTTGCTGGGTGATTAAAGCACCTGCCCAGGTGCCTACACAGCACTTCTGCCCACGTATCACCCGCGCACCTCCCCGTGTCCCAGCCACACCACCGCGGGGCTTTTCTCGCGCTCGTTAAACGCTGCTGAGAGACAGAGAAGAAACCCCGCGGCGCTTCCCTCGGCTCCGGATAGGGTAAGGCTGCCCGGGCCGGGGGTGTCACCCCCGGACGGACCCCCACCCCAGACCCGCTCGAC